CGAACTTCAAAACATTTCCATAAACTTCTTTGATATTCTTTGTGGCTACAGAGGCATTGTTTTCCTTCTTGTATTCAAACAGCATTACATGCCGAATGTGTGTCTCGTCGTGTGTTACATTAATGACGTTTAGGCGGTTCGTTTAACCATTATACGTGATTTACGTTTTTTTTTTTGTTTTTTTTTGGGGGGGGGGGTTAATGCTAGAATCTTTTTCGAATTATGCCTTTTTTCATTAGGTAAAGAGTTCTTAATTCTTTAAAAAAAACATAAATTAATTTTTTTTTGTTTGTTTGTTTGAAATTAAGCGCAAATCCACACAATGGGCTACCTGTGCTCTGCCCACCACGGGTATAGAAACCCGCTTTCTAGCATTGTAAGTTCGCAGACATCCCGCTGTGCCGCTGGGGGGGGGGGAGTAAATAATAAAAAGCGTATTCGATTTTTGTTTGTTGTTAAGTACAAAGCTACACAAAGGGCTATTTGTACTGTGTCCTCCACAAATATTGAAACTCGCTGTGCTACTGGAGGTATGTATGCAATTCTACCCCACTTTGTTGGTGGGCCCTTTATCCATATTTGTACATGTTTTGGCAATATTAAATACAATTTAGCTGTACGTACTCATAAACACATGAGATTTCATATCGTTTCGCTTGCACCCCTTATTCCCACTTACAATCAAACTATTCGATACCAAATCTCACTGATGGACTTTAAATTTCCCGATTTAGCTCATTAAATATGTTGTTATTCATCACATCAGTTTATCATCAATTATTAAAGGTTTCTTCAACCAATTTTGGGTGAGAAAGAAGATGATAATACCGGATTTATTTTCTGCTGTGAGTGATACCACTAAACAGTAGTACAGGAAGGCGTTGTAAAGTGCTGGTGCTTGGATAGACATACAAATTTTACAGTGAGAAATTGAAAGTATAAGGAGCTACCAAAAGCAGCCCAATCTAGGGGGTGGTAAAGTGAGGGTACTTCAGCACCCCTACTTCCGACGCCTCTGCCACCAAAGCAGTATAATATTTTTGTTTTTAAGAGTTTCGGTTAATGGTTAAGAAATACATCAGGTGTTTAGATTGTATACACCTGAGTACATTGTGGCCGCCTTTACAAGTAAATTGAATTAAGTCATCGAAAACAAGAAAATGATTAAATTGCTTCGAAAATAACTTCATCACATGAATAATGAGCATAATATATTTATTTCAATTCTTCATAGGCCCATAACTATTTCTAACTATTTTCGTTTTTTAAACTCATATATAATTGATTCAAATAACTTATCTGCATAGATACATTTATAATATTTGTCCTTAAAGTTATATCATTTGATAAGTAATGCATGTTAACATACCAATTTACAGAAAAAAAATGCAATTATAAAAATTACACAAATGTACTTACCATATTAAATTTATGAATTAAAATATCTATATTCCCTTCGATTTTTTTCTGAATATTAGATGAAATATTCATTTCAAAGGTTAACATGATCTAAAATATAGTTATATGAACATTTTTTATTTTGAAACCGATTATGGTGAAAGCAATAATGCGTAACATAATCAGATAATCAAACTTTTGGCTGGTTGGACATATTAGCTTTACTGAAAATAATTAAGGTAAAAATATTTTCAGTTTCTGTGAAATAAATTTAGTCAGTCAAACATTTTATATATAAGGAGTTTATTGTAGTCTTTAGGAAAACTTGCTTGAAATGTTTTTCGGTGCCTATTGGTATCAAATATTATGTTCAGATGGTCATACACACCTCAAGTAAGTTACAGCAATACACGATTTACTAGATTTCTCATACTACACGAAAAAAGAAAAAATCTTAAAATCAGCCACAAACTGGTTTCAGTTTGTTACCACATACATACCAAGAAGAAATATTTATTTAGCTCAGGAAATGTGGTAATACATTTGTTGGGAGAATTTCCCTGATTCTTCGAAATTAACGGAAGTTGACTGGAAGTCAAAAAGTCACACACGTGCTCTCTGTTGCTAAAAGCCAGGAAGATTTGATGAAAAATATATATTATTCTTTTTTCAAGGAAAACAGTATAGACCTTAGATACTAATGTGAGTTTCGTAGTATAACAAAATAATATTTTCTAACAGGCCGGAATTTAAGAGAGTAAGCGAAACTCAGATTAATCTATTGAAATCTAATATTAGCTCTACAGAACTATAGATGTGATGAGAGCAGAGCAAACCAACTGCACACGCATCAGAGACCACCGACTTCACAGTCCGGCAAGCTAAACACTAGGCCACGGTCAGCGAGGTGGTAGTAGAAAAAACTTTGTACCAAAACATCTGTATGGTATTAGGCCAATACATCATAATAAATTATCTACGTATACATACCCATTATTATGCTTTAGTAGCTATCAATTAGAAATATTTTTAAATAAATTAATGGTAACTATGAAAGGAAAGTCAAATATTTATATAATATCCACACAAGTATCAAAGTGTTTTTTTTATGTATATGTTGACGTGTACTGTTTCTCAGCGCCTACACGACAAACTCTAACCAAATTACAGATAGAGAGAGGTCAGGCAAGTTTATAATATCATATGAGTTTCAAAGTGTTTTTTGATTATATGTTTATTGTAGTGTCATGACTTATATTATGAATTCTACCCAAATTATACACACAGAAAGTCAAGAATTTACAATATCCAAATTGGAATCAAAGTAATTTTTCGATGTGTTTGCTTTTCTCAGTAACTATACGATGACTTCCAATCAAATTATACTTAAATAAAGTCACATAGATTTATAAAATTCAGATGAGTATCAAAGTGATTTTTTATGTGTACGTTTTCTAGCAGTGTCTTTCAGTAACAACATGGTGTATTATAATAATATTATACGTAAAAAAGCAAAATAAATTTGTATTAGCCAGATGAGTTTCAAAGCGTTTTTATGTGCATGTTTATTGTAGCGTCTCCCGGTGGTTATATTATCAATTCTAACCAAATTCTATCTAAACAAGAAAAACAATAGTTTCATATTTTCGTATTTTATTATTTATCTTGATTTCACCTTTTCTTTAAATTGATAAATTACCATGATCTAGGATTTTTTTCTTCTATTAAGCATAATTTTAATTATTTTAGCACGTTACTGTGTAGTTATTGACGAATTTCTTAAAATGAATAGAGACAATTATATATTAATATTTCAAATAAACGTGAGAAGTTATGAAAACAGTATCTACCAATTTTTTAAATCAGAAATACATATTTTGTAAAAATTTTCCAACTTCACGATAATCAGCAGTTAGATCTCATGTTTTCTTGGTGCGTGTAATATGCACGTCAGCTATTAAAATATATTAGTTTTTTCACTAAGCACGGTAATACTTAGTATGTAGGGATGGGTCGATAAAAAAATGTCTGCCGCATTCCATATATTACTCTATGTTACTTGCAAATAACTGCTTTATCTAAGCACTTAACTGTCATAATCGAGAGTTTCACAGCTTGTGAGGCTCCCAGTATCATTGAAAAGTGTTGCTATAGTGGAGAACTAGGAACTAATTAAATAGTCAAAGTGTTCATCTTTCTTTTCTCTCGCCAGCCAAAAAATGTTCTGAAGCTTTCGTAATGGCTTTAGTACGACAGAAAAACATTTTAAGAGTATTTGGGAACTAGCTAAACAAATTATAATTCTGGTGTAAAATATGTTATCATTACCCCTAGAAGTTGGTTTTCTCACAGAAACCTGGTGTTCCTTTAAAAACTTAGGTACAGGGTGAAACAGGAATTACCAGCCAATAATAAATGAACATTAGATGACTGTAACATGTAGAAACCAATGCTTTGTACACTGTACAACCAGTGTCTTTAGGGAGCCAATCCATATATTATGTATAAAATGAAGAAGTGGAAAAAATGCAATACACATAACATTAAATTTTATTACACACATTCACAGAATACACTAACTTTCAGTACGGGGGAAAAGCGTCACAAAACAAGTAATAAAAACATTTTGTAAATGTAAAACGAGGTAAAGATGGCAGTGCCAAAAAGAATGCAAACATGAATATAGGGTTGAGACAGCTGTACGTTTTCTATATGATCTTTCCTTATTGTAGGTTCTTCAACATTAAGTCCCAAGAAGTCAAGATAATGGTCAGTGATTATTAATAATCTATTGTAGCCAGTTGTATAGTATAATATCAATACCTGAGGTCATTCTACAAGAACAATGAATAAACTGACAAAACTGATGTGATATTAACAATACATAACACCATTCAGTTATAAAAATATAACAAATGTTCACTTATCAACCTAATTCAATGAAATTGTTAAAAAAAAGATGAGAAAGAAGTAATAATAAAAAACTACAAAAATTAATTATATGTAGAGATGGCAATGCCAAAAAGTACAGAAACCAGGCAGGGATAAATTCACAAAACCATACAAAAATCATGACATAATTAGTCAGATCTTATCAAGAATAACTTTTACCAACAACTACATGTTGAATTCCTATCAGTTGCATGAATTCAGGTTTTAAACTGAGTAGTGCTATACAGTTGGACTTCACCAAGGCTCTTCTCTAAGCCCGTACATCTTCGACGTGATAATGGATGTGCTGGGCCAAGGGATCATCGAACCGGCACTTTGGGACATGTTATTTGCAGATGACATAGTCCTCATAGATACCACCATGGAGGAGTAGAGCAGAAATTGGAGAGATAGAGGATAGAGGACTTAAGGTCAGTAGAGAGAAGACGGAGTATATGGTTTTTGATGGAGAAGAGGAAATGGGAGATGTTACTTTACTTAACGATAAACTTAAAAGGGTAAACACCTTTAAGTATCTTGGGTCCTATGTGACATCAAACGGTACACTTGACTCTGAAATAAGCCATAGAATCCAGTCGGGATGGAGAAATTGGAAAAATGCGTCGGGAGTGCTATGCGACAATAAGATCAGCGCAAGGGTGAAAGGAAAGGTCTATAAAACCTTTGTGAGACCTGCGATGATGTACTGAGCGGAAGCCTGGGCCATCAAAAAGGTTCAAGAGAAGAAATTAGAGGTAGCCGAGATGAAAATGTTGAGATGGATGTGTGGAGTGAAGAGGCTTGATAGGATTAGAAACGAGAGGATTCGAGGAACAACTAAAGTGGTGGAAATATCGAAGAAAGTTCAGGAGAGAAGATTGCAGTGGTATGGGCACGTGATGAGGAGGGAAGATGATTATAGAGGCAAGAGGGTTTTGGATATGGAGGTGGAGGGGAGAAGGAAGTAGGGAAGACCAAGGAGAAGATGGAAGGATTGCGTGGATGGAGATATTAGAGAGAAAGGCCTTGTTGGGGACGAATACGAAGACCGAGGAGAGTGGAAACGTGCTGTCAAAAATAGCGACCCCGTATAGATACGGGAAAAGCTACAGAAGAAGAAGAAGTCACATGACTACCATAACTGACATAAAGTCGCAGTGGAACTGAATGTATTAGAACTATATTTTGACGTTGTTTGGCGTTCTTAGATAATGTGATGCTACCGAAAATTGATTGCTTTTGGGAAGTGTATGTAACAGCCGTTTCTGTGGCAAAATATTCATATACTTAGATCATAAAAATGTATTTAGATTGGAAACTTAGCATTTCCAAGACGGGGATAACCTTCGGATTTAATGACATTGGAAAACAGAGGAATATAGATAAACTTGGGGCACCAGGACCACCCATAAAGATACCTGCAACACTTTGCAACGCAGCAGTAGTAAGCAAAGTGCAACGTCTTGAAACATTTGAGAATCTACATACACAAAAAACCGTCCACGTGACCCAGGCAACGGTGGGTGACATAATTAACAAGGATTTCTGTCTGAAAAGTAGACCAACAGGATAAGGCTTCTAGGAATGTCTCCAGTTCTACTGTCGCATATCTCAAGCAGCTGGAGAATTAAATAGGTATCATTACTATTCCATACGAAGACATACCGATCAAATCATAGTGCATATGGATTTCTTTGCAACCCGACTGTTGAGACGAGCGCTTGGAAACCGCTATTCTTGTACTGTAGCTAAATTAACATCCTTAGGGAGGAATGGTGCGCTTTGGACATGACCTTAAAACGGAGCCTTTTGCAATGGAAAATACGCTGCAGGGTTTTTGTTAAGATGTGTAGTCGTCAGATGGAATATGACCAGATGGATTATAGTGAATGGCAAGGCTTCAAAATATTTTAACATAACGTACTCAACTCACTATATTACTTAGTGTACTTTATGGCTTTTTTAATGAAACTCAATTACACAATCACTCACTGTACGTTAACTAAAAAACAATATATTTTATGCTCAATATTAAGTATTGTACTTTTCAGTTTCACACTAATTTATTAATTACATTCTCTATCTTACGTTATGCTCTTTGTTGTTTATGTTACAGTGTGCCTCTCATGATTTATGAATAACTATTTCATTTAATTATCTAGGTTAAGTATTATAACTTGTGTTCTTTGAAGAGCAGCGTATTTTGTGTTTTATACTTTATATTTAGTAAAGTAAACCAATTATATTGTATTCTCTGTATTAAGGGAACAAATTGAGATTGTAGTTATCTTCATGTTAGCAATGAACTTGCCACTTCATGTGAAATTAGATATCTTCATGAAAAATGTTTTTGTTGTTGTTTTTTACAGTTGAGAAATGTCAAAATTTATCTAAAGTAGAATAGTACATTCACTCATAGATCTTCATAGGTCAATCAAGATGTTACTGTCCATCACACATTCTTCTCTATCTTTCCCTACCTTCCGCCTTCCTTTTCAAAAACATCATTTATTCTTCATCCTTTCAGTTTGTACAGCAGGAGCATCCTATTCCTTCCTTTCTGCTTACTAAGATTTCTTTCATCAAGCTTCTTCCCTATCTACAAGCCCAACCCATCTCTTTCTTATTTTTTTCCAACAAACTACTTTTCTCTTGCACCGTCTCTAAGATTTCTCTGTTCATCTTCTTTTGTAACTGATTTTCTCCATTCTTTGCTAAACCCGAATTTCAAAACTTTCTAATCTTCTGATGTAATTTTTTGTCACAGTGTACATTTCCGGTGCTTATGTCACCACATTCCACACAAAGGCTTTAATCAGAATCTTCTTCAGTATTCTGTCCAATTTCTTTTTCTAAATTCTTCCTTGCCCAAATTACAATTTTTGATTTTTATTTGTTTGGAGAATTTTCCATCTGCAGTCAAAGTACTCTACAAATAACAAAAATTAATGCAACTCATCCAGTTTTTGTCCTTTTAAATGCATGTTTCTCGTCACATTTTTATGTCTTGAAACCCTGCAGACTGTTTTCGCAACATGCAACCAAAGCCACATCACCAGAAAACCTCAATGTCTTGAGCTTTTTTTCCCTCCAACCTTTACGCCTGCTTTAACCTCTTCTCATGCTTCCTGCATCTTGCCTCACAATAGATATTAAAATGCAGCAGTAATAATCAGCAACCCTGTCTAACTTTTCCTCCTATCACTGATCCACACTGACCTTTACTAACTCGGACACAGATAGTCTCGTGTTCTTATCCAATAAGTAACACAGGTACTTATTTTTGGCTTTCGGTTCCACCAGAATGGATCACTCTACCTCAATCTTTCCATAAAACCCCTGACTAATACCAAAGCACTTGATATAACGTAAAACATTAAAGTTTTTTTCGGTTAATTTCTCTTTTAATATTGTCTATTTTGTTTTAACATGTCAGTCCTGACATTCCATACTCCTGTCTTGATTCTTCTTTATTGAGGATATAAAAAGTGGAAGGATCCAAGTACCTTTCCTATAGGAGAGGAGCACTCCTGTTGGCAAGGAAGGGTCCGTTTACGCCATTCCTTATTATATCTTTTATTGATTGATTCATTACGAGAAGGTCTAGTTGAGACGGTTTTTTGTTGCCTCCTCAACGGTATCTCTAGGTGACACCATCATCAGATGCCCAAACAGTACACTAATGAGAGCATATTTTTATAGAATACATTTTATAATTAATTGTTTTTGTTTGTAATTAAGCATAAAGCTACACAATGGGCTATCTGTGCTCTGCCCACCAAGGGTATCAAAACCCGGTTTATAGTGATATAAGTCCGCAGACATATTACTGTGCCACTGAGGGGGGGGGGCTTATCATTAAGTTCTATTAGAGAGGTATCATGGTTTGATTTTGATTTGGCTCACTTTTCAAACTTCTATAATTACACTTGTAGTGCCAATATAATGTGTTTACGTATATTTTCAAATTCGAGC